CAAGCAAGGTTCCACGATGGGGTAATTTCACGGCTGACCAGACTGATGACCCTTCTTCACAGGAGTGATACAAAGTCCACCTGCAGATTTACTGAGATGTCAGAACATGCAGTGTCATCTTGCTGGCAGCTGGCATTCCGCAAAAGTAGTTCAGACTGAGACCTGATAGTTTTGGAGCAAGGGGCCTGAGCTTCCTTCACACCATGACACCAAGGGATGTATGGCACGTCCCTTGGTCCCGAATGCACCAGAGCAAGCTTCTTGAGGGAGGAAGCGTCCCTCAGGCCCTTCTGATGGGACCCTCTCTGTCAGAGTTTCTGGTATTGAAGGGGAAGGGGGGGTGCGAACTGCCATTTCCAGGGAGGCATGGGAAGAAAGTGGGTATTTTGGAGCGGTAATCCAGGCTCCCGCCCTGGATGTATCAGTTTCTCCGTCTGCTCTGACTGCCATGACAAAAGGCCACAGACTGGGTGACTTAGTAGAAACTGATTTTCTCACAGTTCTGGAAGCTGGAAAGTCTGACATCAGGATGTCGGTGTGGTTGGCTCCTGTCTGGGGCTCTCCCCGGCTGTGTCCACACAGGGCCTCTCTGTGGTATGCGTGAGAGGAGACAGGGTGAGGTCACCCTCTGCCTGCTCCATCATTAGGGTCTCACCTCCATGACATCTAATCCTAGTCCCCTTCCAACCACCCACTTCAAAATACCGTCACATTGGGGGTTAGGACTTCAACATACGCATTTTGGGTGAATACAAACATTCAGTCCACACAATTGTTTTCTGCTGCAAATGACCGCAAACTCTTCAGCTTGACACATCACCCATTTAAAATCTCACATTTCTCTTGGTCTAGGAGTCTGGGTGTGGGCCAGCATAGTCCTCCAGCCAGGTTTCACAGGGCTGCGATCAAGATGTTGCTGTTTGGACAACGTCATTTAGAGGTGTTGCTGGATGAGGGCTCCTCGTGATCTTTCTGAGGGGAGGGTGTTATATGAGGCCAGAGGTCATGGTACAATTCTGTCTCCCACACTGAGTTTGATGGCTGATGCTCCTTTACTTTGAGTAGGAGAATGTGATCCTTTCCCAGTCACTGTTATTAAAGATATTTGGTAATACACATCCTCAATAAGCAAGTCATCCGTGTTTGTTGGGAGTTAAATTATTTAGGGAGCTCTTGGAACGATAGCTTTGCTTTGTGATGAAGAGAGGAAAGGCGATGCTTCTTACTGTAGCCTTAGATGCAAGAATATTAATCTCCTTTAGGTTAAAAGGAGGTGGAGATAGAGGAATGCCTACTATTTGGAGGTTTGTGTGTTTCCGGTAAAATCCTGTACAAGAGACTTAGTCACTTTGGAACTTTGATAATTTCAGCTTGTAAGAGATCAAGGAGTTGCATCTGAGTTCCTTAAGACCCCTGAGAGGGTCTGCTGTGTGGAGTGAGTCCCCCTAGGATTTCTCTCTAATTGTTGGGCCCTTCCTGAGTGAGAAAGACTTGGGCCATGGTTGGAAGAGGTAAAATTTCATATGGTAGGAATGCAAAGTAGAAGGCAGGCGTGAGAGATGCTTCTTGGGAGAGCCTCCTTCCCTTCCTCTCTAGGTTATGTCTCATGGGGCTGGCGTTGGTACAGGTGGAAACTGGAGGAAATTTTTTGGAGGTGACATCCTACGGGGATGGCATGGTTAGAGCCAGAGCCCCCGGACATGGCCATCTGTCCAAAGGAAGATGACAGGGCAGGGGCTGAGGCAGGGCCCAGAGAGTTGGGGTGTAAGGGAGGGAGCCCTGGAAGGAGCCTGAGGGGCTCTGGAGTCCTGTGTGACCCACTCTGAGCCTTTGCACAGTTCTTATCTTTTGCCAGGGTCTCTAGGGGCCACATACGGAGGTGCTGATGGAAAATCGGGGACCTAATTTTTATGAGGTTAGATTGTCAGGCTGGGAGGTGAGATTTATTTGGCAGAGGTGTCCAGGATGGTTTTGGTGGAGACAAGAGTAAGTGGATCGAGGCTATTGTGCGAGCAGGGAAAACGAGGGGTGACGGCAGATGGGAAGAGAAGAACAGACAAGGAGAGAGGCGTGGAGAAGGACTGATCCAGCTCTGTGATGGGCTGGCCCTCTGCCCTGCACCATGAGCTGGAAAAACGATGGTCAGAAATTCCAAATCCACCAAAAGAAGGAGGCTTGGAGGTGGAGGAATGAACTGAGGGTTTGAAATGTCAGGCACGAGGCAATGGCTCCGGCACTTCCTTCGGAGAGGACAGTATTTTCTGAAGGTAAAATTACCGGGAGAACATGATGTGTCTATTGGAGTTCGGGTGTTGGGTACTGAGGGCAAGAGAGAAGTTTTAGAGGTATTTGGAAGAAGAACTAGGAGACTCAGTTGCAGATGTGGGAAGTGTTAGCCAAGCATTTTCCTAGGCTCAGATCTGGAATGCAAGGGAAGGAAGCCTGGAAGTATTTAGTATCTTAGTGGATAGTATAGTATACTTCACAGGCCCAGCTGTGACTGGAGGGTTTGTGAGCACTGAAGGAAGAAGACGTGTGTGAAGTACTTGGGAGCAGAGCCCTGCGAAGCCATCTTTGGTTCATGGTTTTTGGACTTTTTTTGTATTTTTGGTGTGTGAATAAAGTTTAGAAATATTTCATATCAGCTCCTGGTCCAGATGTTTTTGAAATGTGCCTGGGACTAGCATAGTGCTTTCCTTCTGAGTCTGGCTGGTTCTTTTGGATCTCAAGGGAAGTGTGACACTCCCTTCCAGCCAGGTCCCCTGCTGCCTGGCCATGCCCACTGGCAGCAAGTGTGAGCAGTTTATCTGCACAGGAGACCTCGTGTCCAGACACCATCCCAATAACGGGGTCTCTTCCCCACCTGCCGCCCTGCTAAAGAGCATGCTGCAGCCCCAACCCCTCCCTGTGTCTGGCTGGACGGCAGGCTGAGTGCTGGGAGGAGGGGTGGTATAGCAGAGGTTAGAGACCCCCAGAGTGAGTGGGTCTGGGAGGTAGAACGCAGGTACAGTTAGGGGCACACTGGGATGATCACACAGCAGGAGCAGAGCTGGAGGACTGTGTGTTCCAGGGGCCACAGCAGAGCTCTGGGCTGCAGGGTCACCTGCCTGGGAACCTGGGAAAGTGGCATTGGGGGAGAGTAGGAGGGAGGCTGAGGGGGACGGCAGCGGGAAGTGGGAAAAACATCAGAGCCTGGAGGAGAGGGGGCCTTAGCTCTGCTGGTGGTGAGGTGGTGGTGACTGCGCTTGGGTATATTCCACAACCAGGTGGCCTTGAGAAGGAGAGGCTCTGCAGAGTTGTGGGGTCAAAGTCAGATGGTAGAACAGGGTGGGTAGAACATGACTGTCCCCAGGACCCATTGGCCGTCTCTGGACTCAAGGAGGCCAGGAGTGTGGGAATCAAAACCAGTGTTTGTCTTAGGGAGCATGGACTTGGGAGGCCTCTGGAAGAAAGGCAGGCCAGGAGCTGGGCACAGGGCCAAGTGGTGGTTCTTTGAGCGACAGATGGCATCACACATCCATGTGATCAGGACAGTAAGGTGGAGGCAGGAGAGAGGGGACCACTGCTGTCAGGACCAAGGCAAGGGCAGGGGTTGGCCTCACTCTGAGTGAGGCCTGGAGACTTCCAGTGCCTCTTTAGAAGCCCCTGCTTGTGGGTGAGGTGGAAGCCGCTGAGAGTGATGGGGCTGCAGGGCAGGGGAGGGTGCACCATGGGGAAGCTGAGTGTGTGGAAGCTCGAGGGAGACTGGTGGCCTCCCCTGTGAATAGGATTAGCTTTGCCTCTTTCCTGAATAGGGTTTTCATTCCTGTGATTTTTAAATAGCACAGCTGAATCACTTAGGGCAGTATTTTTCA